TATGTTAGTGATGTCAAACTTAATAGAAAGCTTTTAGTTGTTTCAATTATGAAAAGGAGAAATAACATCCTTCTAACATATTGAGTAAAATCAATGAATTCGATATCATGCATTCTCATATATTTGATCAATTCTTTCTCTCAAGACAAAGACTAAAGGCAACCAATGGGAATGAACGAATTATAAAATATCGAATATACAGGGTACTGATGACAATGGAAGTGATTTCATAAGAGAAAAGTAACTTGAATCTTTATAATATCTAATAAAATCTTTTATTGGTGCAAATGTAATTCTGTGATTTAAAGGTTACTATTTTTTCAGCATGAATTGGTTGCAAAATAAAAATAATGTGCTTTCCGCTTCTAAAAGAAAAAGAAATTATTGAAATAGATGACTGTTTATCCTTGACAGACATATATCTCATTCGATAGTGATTGTTTTAAATGGAATCGTAAAATGAAGAAATTGATAACTAAAAAAACTAAATTGATAGAGATGAAATCTGCCTACACTCTAAAAAAAAAAGGTTTCCTCGGAAACCGATACCCCTTCGGAAACCTTTTCGCAAACCTTTCTAGGTTTCCGGAAGGGTTTCCGAACTTATGTTGAGTTTCTGACAATACCTTGAGGGTTTCCGAGCATCCGGAAACCAATGGATTTTGGAGAGAGCGGATTCGGAAACCCTCAACCGTATTCTCGGAAACCGCTTTTGCTTCGAAAACCTTTTCGGATACTCATTGCGTATCCTCGCATACCTTTGGGTTTTCGATATTTTTTTATCGAAAACCCTTTTGGGTTTCCGGGCATCGGAAACTGTCGAAGCGTTTTCCAAAAATCTAGCAAGGTTTCCGAACATAACTGGAAAACCCCTTAGGGTTTCCGAATGTTGCGAAAACCTTTGAGTTTTCGAGAAAAAGTTTCGAAAACCCATTAAGTAGTATGCAAAACCCGATTAGCATTCCAATATGATCTTTTTTATTCTCATGTTCTATCGTGTGATTTTCAGGTAAAGCGGTGCTCGATATGCATGACATAAACCTTACCTAATTTTTGTGAAGTTGCTTTGTAAAACATAAGAAATCTGAGAAGTGTAAAAGAAGGCCTTGTTCCCAAAAGAATTCTAATTCGTTTTTATATTTCAAATAGCCTAAAATTTGGATGTATTATGACACACTTTACTGTGAAAATCGAAGAGTCGCGCTAAATTGGATGGTCACTATATGCCCTCTAAAGGCATCGTAGTCAAGCAATTTCGTGCCGAACTTAGGTTTTTCTTCCCTCGTTATACTATGGACACATGTTCACCAATATGAAATTCAGATCAGCGTTAAGAAGTTAGATTAAGGGTTACAATAAGCGGACAGATATACATTAAAGAGTTAGAAGAAGACCACGGAATAAGACATTACAACAACGAGTTAGAATAAGGGGATACACATAGATTAAGGACTTAGATTAGCACGATACATTTAGGGATAGATATAGATTAAGGAGTTATATTAGAGGTTAGAATAAAGGGGTAGAACAAGAAAGTAGAATAAGGGGACAGACACAGATCAAAGAGGAACAAACTGATTTCCGATTTCTTGATTTCTAGTGATTTCCATGATTTCTGACGATTTCGAGTTAGAGGAAGTCCGCTACCGTTCCGTTGCCAAATAACCGGTAACGAAAAGTTTGTGAGTTTCATTTTTTTGTTAGGATAAGGCTATTTTCAAGAAATAACGATTTTCTATAAAGTTTGATCAAAGGTTATCGAGGTCCAGGAATTCGAATCTATGAGCCGTTTTACAAAATTTGTGATTTTCATTCTTTTGTTAGGATAAGGCTATTTTCAAAAAATAACGATTTGCTATAAAGTTTGGCCAAAGGTCATGGGGGTCCAGGAATTCGAATCTGTGACTCGCTTTTCAAAATTTATCATCTTGATTTTTTCGGCCACTGAAGGCCTATTTTGCAGAAATGCGGATATTCCCATAGAGGTGGCAAAACTATGAGAAATTGCTTCACCCTGACAAAAAAATCCAAACTCGAAAATTTTTCGAAATCACTTATAGATTTGGATTGCTCAACTCCGATAGCTTCCGATCAAACTTTATACGAAAATCATCATTTTCGGAAAATACACTTGCCCTAACGAAAAAATTAATCTCACAATTTTTTCCTTCTCAGATAACAGTGATTTGTTACCCCTACTATGGATATCAAAATTCTGACAAGCTGAGATATACACACAATAGCAATGATCTCTATTAATTTCTGTTGATTTCAAATTGATTTCTGGCATTAGAAATCAGTTTCTTTCCCCTTGATATCGATGAAGAAGTTAGATTAGCGGTTAGAATAAGGGGATAGATATAGGTTAACGACTTGGATTAGAAATTAGAACAACAGAAAAGAGTGAGGCCTCAAATAAAGAGGTTAGAATAAGCAATGGAATAAGAGATTAGAATAAGAGGATAGATTAAGGGGTTAGAATAGGGGATTAACGTGAGGGATTAGAATAAGGGGATTGAATAAGGGGACAGATGAAGGGATTATAATAAGGGGTTAGATTAAGGGGTTAGAATAAGGATTTAGATTACACGGTTAGAATAAGGGGATAGAATAAGGATATAGATTAAGGGGTTAGAATAAGAGGATAGAATAAGGGGATAGATTAAGGAGTTAGAATAAAGGATTAGAATAAGGGGACAGATGACGGGATTATAATAAGAGGTTAGATTAAGGGGTTAGATTACGCGGTTAGAATAAGGGATTAACATAGGGGGTTAGAATAAAGGAATAGAATAAGGATTTAGATTAAGGGGTTAGAATAAGGGGATAGAATAATGGATTAACATAAGGGGATAGATTAAGCGGTTAGAATAAGAGATTAGAATAAGAGGATAAAATAAGGGGTTAGAATAAGCGGTTCGAATAAGGGGATAGATTAAGGGATTAGAATAAGGGGTTAGAATAAGGATTTAGAATAAGGGGTTAGATTAAGGGGTTAGA